CTCTCTAAATTTAGAAAGTTTTCTTCCAGTATTTCATGGAATAGATTATCAATGCCCTTATTAGTTTCTTTGCCTTCTGGGATACCGTTTATCCAAATGTTTGGGCATTTAATGGTATCTAATATTTCTTGTATAGTATTCTCAATTTTGGGGGGGAGTTATTTTCTCAGTACTTTTGGTTGTTTTTTTCTAGGTCAGAAGTGTTGCCTTCAACATCTGAGATTTGATCTTTTTCATGGACAAATCTGCTTTTAATACTTTTGAGGGAGGTTTTGATTTTCTATATTACAGCCTTCATCTCTAAAAGCTCCATTTGATTCTTTTTTATGGTGTGTAGTTCCTCTTTCAGATCATGCAAGAACTTCTTCACCTACTGGAACTCATTGTCTCTTTTCTCCTGCATCTTCTGGAGTTCATTGTCTCTCAACTCTTGCCTCTCATTTAGTTTTATCACTATGCATATTCTGAATTCTCTATCAGACATTTCCATGAGTTCCACTGTACTGTCTATGGATGGAGAACGATTGTTCTTTTCACTTATGGAAGAGATATTTCCTTGCTTTCTCATATTTATTGTGCCTTTGCAGTGTCTCCTGATCATTCTGTGACAAAATCTCTCCTCTACTGTGTTTTCCAACGTGGCATCCACAGAAAGAAATTATGAGTTCAGATATATAAAAATAAGTTTCTTCCTTAAAGCAGGAAGTTCAATAAGCATTGAAGATTTTAATAGCCCTAAAGTATTCAGATGCTTGGCTGTGCACCCTGGTGCTGTGCACCCAGGCCTGTCTAGACACACACTGTGTGTAGAATGAAGAGCAGAGTAGAAAAGAAAAGTTAAAAAAAAAAAAAAGGAAAAGAAGAGAAAACAAGGGGAAAAAGACTAGATAAAACTACCCAAAAAAGAAAAAAATATATTATTAAAAGATAAAACATGAAAACAGAGCAGTACCAGGATACACCTCAGATTTAAAATGGCTTCTGAAATAAGCAAGAGAAAGAAAAGGCCCAAGGTGAGAAGTGGTTTAAAATTTTTTAAAATAAAAAATTTAAAGAGAGAGAGAGACAGAAGACAGACAGAGACAGAGAGGGGACAGAGATCACCCTACCTTGTCTGAGTGTTTCTGGAATCTAGAAGATGAGGTTTAGAGCATAACTTTAGTTGCCTTGGTCCCTAAACTCTCTAGGACACATGTCAGATTTAGAATGGCTTCTTGTCTGAGTGCCTCGGGAGTCTCACCTATTCCACTTGTTGACATGCATTCTTATGTCTGTTCATCATTTTCTCCTGAACCTCCTCCCCTCCCCCACCCCCTGCAGCTTCTGGCATCCACCATAATTCTCATTTCTGTGCTGTTGAGCCCTTTAGTTCTCACCACAGAGTGCAGACATTTATATACGTTAAACAGAGACATGCAGTATTTGTTTTTCCTAGGCTAACATTTCACTTAGCAAATACATATATTTTCTAGCAAGACTCAGTACTCACAAACACATATTTATTAAACAAATGTGTCATGAAACTACTTAACAATGAAGCTTCCCAAAAGAGTGTACTGTTGGCAAATGTAGCTGAGATGTTTGTCCTTGCTGGGATTTTTAGAAAGGTATTTTTTTAAACTATAAATTAAGATCTGTTGGAAGGTTGTGATACCCATTTAGTCAGTTGTGGCCAGCATTTAAAAAAGAATAGCATAGTTTTATAGGACAGTAGAAAATATCAGAGTGTCACAAAGGTAAATACTGTGCTAGGAAACATTTGCTTAATTGCCAAGCTGTGTATATCTCCTTGTGAGAAGTGCTTATGACTGGATTGCATTCAGAATGGCTTAAGATACTTTTAGAAGCTTTCCTGAAAGCACTTTACAGTGAGGAAGGGTCAGCCTTTTAGGTTTCTAAAGAAAACAAAGGTGTGGCTGGAGAGGCCACAGTGCCCTGAGGAAGTAGGAGAGGGACCCCTGCCCTGACTGAGCTGGGAGAGGTGAGCTGCACGCGCAGCACACAGCGTGTGGCTCCCTGGAGGCGGCGCCTCTGCCAGGGTGCTGGTGAGAGGGGAATGGAAGTGTCGCTCTTTCCATTGGTGTAAGACAAGGACTAAGTGCG